CCATTTTAGTCATTATAAATAGTTACAACACTTTTACGGTAAAAATTACCAAACGCACTGACACTGCTTTTCATACTCACAACGCTTTTAAAATTACAATTTACCAAACGTTTAACTGCTTTACTTTACAGCTGATTCTTTTTAAAGCACAGCAGAAGCAGCTTTTTTTAAAGCGGCAGCAATCCCAAACTAGGCCTTCATCTTATTGGACCGTAGTATCAATCAGAAACGCCAGCCGGTGCTACGGCAGTATTGTATAATTTCTCGTGGGGAGGGGAGGGTTATTGCTGGGTTTTGATTTTATAAATAAATAAATAATTTTTTTGTTTATAGATTTTATTTTAATTTAAAATAATATATTGACTGAATTGCCCCTCCACAATTGATATAAGTTAAAAAAAGGACTAACATCATTTTATCCCCTCAAGATTTGGGGTCATTTTTGAAACATACCACGTGGTTTTAATTTTATTAATTTACGCTCTAATATTTTAAAATTCAACTAATTTACACGATCCGTTAATTTGACTGCTAGGTCTTCTGTTAGGTGATTATGTGGCAAACGTGAGGTCCACCTTTATCTCGACTTAACCACATTGCCACATAAGCACCTGCCTTGGCTTTATTTCCCTCCACCTTCTTAAATATCCTTGGGCAGATAGGCTTGTTCCATGTCAGCATTTTGTTCCTTCTTCCTTGTATTCTCCTCATCAGCTTACATCTAATATACTCAAACATTGACAGAATTGGTCTATCCCTACATTCCAATATGGTAGCATTGAAAGACTCGCAAAGATTATTCAACAACATGTCACACTTCAAATGAGTGTTGAAGTGTGACTTGAACCAATGCCTTAGAGGTTTATCTGGAGTGGTTAGCCATTCATATGCATTCTTTGACAGTTTTTTCAGGTCTTTCATGGCCCTTGTAAAGTGGGGGACAGTGGTTGCATATGATGCTTCCCAAAACTTGTCTCTGAGGCTTTTTGCTTTGAAAAGCACCCTATAGTTGGAAAACAGGTGTCTTGCACAGAACCGGTGATTACAATTAGAGACCACTTACTCAAAAGCAGGCAGTAAAACTTTTTGTTTGTCTGATATAAAGGTGAAGCCAAATTGATTCACAATCTGACAATCCTTAACCAATAGCTCTAGAAACCAAATCCAAGATTCCTTGCACTCTGATTCCACAACTGCATAAGCAATTACCCAGGTTTCATTATTGGGGTCTATACGCACAGTAGTCAACAGTTGCCCTACATAAATACTCTTCAAAAAGCACCCATCTAAACCTATAATAGGCCTGCACCCAGCTTTGAAGCCTTCCTTAGCAGCTCCTAAACAAACATACAACATTTGAAACTTTAGTTGCCCCAACTGTTGTTGGAAATCACACTTAACCATTGTTGTGGTTCCTGGGTTACTCTTCCTTAATTCCTCACAGTAATCCCAAATTCTAGAATATTGTTCATTGAAACTGCCCTCAATCAGCTTTAGTACCTTATCTTTTGCCCTATAGACTTGTTGTCTTGACACCCTTATATTATAATCACTCTCAATAGCCTACTTGAATGACCTGACTGGCCACTGGGATTGGACTTCAAAGTGTCAACATATTTCTTGCTTATCCATGTTGACTTCACAGTAGGGTTCTTCCATAGTTGTGTACATATGTGCTCACCAACATATGTCTTCACTTGCAATGTCTTCTCATGTTGCATTTTTGAAGCATATATAATCCACCTACAATCTGGGTCCCCACAAACTGCCTTCAGCTTCAAAGCCTCATTCCTAATAAACACTACATCCCTATTCTGCAAGATGGAGTATTGTCTAATAGCTGCCTTAAACACCTTACAATCACTAAACAACATCCCAATCTCAAACTTTGGATCTGCCATGTCAGTTGCAACATTGACCTCTGACTAATTCTTATCAACTTCCTCGTCAGAATTATACTTGGCATAATCCCTGCACTCAGAATCTTTAGAATCCAATTCAACATGTGTAGGCCAATCAGGAGCAGCCTCATTCCCAATTTCTTTAACCCCTGTCCATTCACTTTGGTCATCCACCCATTTATAAAAAAAAAAAAAATATCATCTTCATCTTCATCTTCACTGAAGTTCTTGGGAATCATATAATCTGAGTCCTCACTATCACAAGCATCATCATCTTCATCTTCAAAGTCTGCAGCATTTGCCAATATTCTTCCACTTCTCAACATCATGGAATGCCTTTGAAACTCGCACCTGATGCCATCAACCCTTCCTTCC